CGTGTTGTGTCGATGGCTTGGCAGCTGATGAAGCCTGCTGGACCGTCACACAAGCACATGATTTGGGAGTTAAGCTCTCATCTTCATGTCATTCTGCGCCTGGGACGGGAAAAACACTCTTTTCCTTTTTTCCTGCAGCATGTTGCAAACTAAACTTTACACACGCACTCACACACACACACGTATACTATATGCGTTATCTATGAGTCAGCATGCATGTTCTCCATTTGGAAGCCAAAATTGCTGTCCTCGTCAATCAAGTTGAACTTGTTTTCAATCAGCCGTGCTTTCATTTCTGCTATTGAACCTGTCACCTTCAATTTTGCCGCCTGGCATTTTTGCTTCAAGTCTTGCCTTGATCAAACTTGCACTGACAGGCACTGCTTGTCGGAGAAAAACATTTGCAAACAAGAACATCTGAGGGTTGAACTTGCTGCAGGAGATGAAGGAGACTAAAAGATCCTGTATTGGCTGGGAGTACTCGGTAAGGGATTCAGCGGCGTCCCGTAGGCTTCTCCCGTCACGAGTGGCAAAGGCTTTGCGCGTGCAAGGACCAGCTTTGTAAAGGACATGGTCATCACAAACAACCATTTCTGGGAACTGGAGTTGAACCTGCAGACAGCAAAACTATGGTCGTATATTCAGGGCCTGATGAGATAGGACTTAGTAACAGCTTGAACTACATTGAAGGAACTCAACATTAAACAACATCGACGCACACTATATATATATATATATAGATAGACAAATAGATAGATAGATATATAGATAGATAGATAGATAGAAAGATAGATATATATATATATATGTTTTCATCACATCTTGCCTGCTTACGCGTGGGCTCAGGGGTCTCAATGGCTTTGCTGACTGGTGGAATCTCAAAAAACTCTATGGACAACATTGCTGCCGCAAGGACAAGTGCAGCCACTCCAATGTGCTGCCCGTTCCCAACAATCGGGTGCGGGCTCTGAATCGCCTTGATGTTCAGAACCTGATTGCGCACTTGCAAGTCAGGTGTGTGTAATGCAAACCTAGGATTAAGTAACCTTCCCCTACTAATCAGCTCTATTCCACATGTCCACTTTCCTTTTAGTCAGCATCCAGTATCTTTTGGCCCCTTAAAAAACTCTCTCGCAAAATTCTTTCATTTTCCCTTATTAAAACTCTATCAAAATCTTGAGGTTTTCAAGCTCACAAAGGGTACCCCCTTACACAGGCCTCATGCTTCACACGGAATCCTAGCAACCGATTGTTGATGACTGTTCATGTGTCAATGCACATGAATAAAGACTTAACGACGCTGATTAGGTCTTTGATTCCAATCTCTGTCAAGATGCTGGTGTCTTGAGCAAGGCACTAAGTTCGCCCGAGATCCCAAAGCCATGGCCGGCATATTTCTCGATAGCCAGCAAATGGCGTCGTTTGCTAGGAATCCATATGTGCCGGTCAGTTTTTGTAAATAGAGGTAGGACCCCATTCGTTGTAGATTTGTCACGGTGTTCGGGATTCTGACCAAGGCAAAATGCCTCAAGATCTTTACAGCCATCATCACCCAGAAGTCGTTCGTACTTTTCTTTGTTGGACTTCTCAAAGTTGCTCAAGAGGTTTTCTGGGTACCCATCCAGACTCTTCCCAGATAATGAGAGCTCATGGCAAAGGTCCTGTTCCGTCCCAACCTTGCAAAGCTCAGGCAAGGTCAGTTGCTTCTCAGATAGACCTGCGCAAAGCTTATGGTACATCTCCAACGGATCTCTGATGAATCGCCCACAGTCTCGCCGCAGAAAGACTTGAAACGCTCTGCGGCGAGAAATGCAACCAAATCCAACGTCACTTGGTTCACCAAAGACTACCTAGGCCACATGAGTTAGGAGTTCGTTACCTACAAGATCTGAAAGATAAAAATATATAGAAGGAAAACTACAGGGGTCTACAAAGGTGTCCGTCCATGCCCAAATTCTACAAATGTCGCAACAAGGTTCTCTCGAATCATAATGCTCCTCCAGATGCTCAACGATGCGCTGGTTAATGTTACCACAGGCAACATTTTCACTGATGCAAATTCTGGGTTTGAGCTGCTCTCTGAGAGACTTCAGGTGCACCAGTGTCGCCTTAGGCTGGCAGGTGTCATGAGATAGGACTTCCGAGCTTCCTGATTACAAACAGGAAACAACACAAAACGGAAATATACAATGCATTTTGTTCAAAGAAACTCTTCTGCTAATTCCATCGTCCTTGCGCAAACCACCCATAGAACTGTCATCAACACAAGGGGCACCAAAGAGATTGATGTCCGCTGAAGGAACGTTGCACCTGTTCCCATGCCTCAAGCATGGGGCACGGTTTGCTACATCGCAATTTGCGAGGATCTCTTGAACGGAATCAGCACAGGTAGCATTGTCAAGCTTGGCCTTGACATAAGGCTGAGCAAATCCAGTTGGTTCTGGAAAACACATGCTCCTGCAAAATCCTTCAGAAGCAGTTGCTGGCAAGGTCTGAGCTTTTCGGTGAAGGATACCTTGGCATCAAGTTGGGTCTACGCAAACCAAACACAGCGAAGCTTATTTTATATACGGTGCATATTTGGTTGGCCACTCCTATCTCATCAGTTTCAGTATCAACCAGAGAGAAAAACATGAGAAGCTGAGAGATGCACGTGCCGGAATTGGCAGCCAAAGCCATGCGCTTCAAGCACCCGTGCACCACGTGATGCAGAACAGATTCCTGAAAAGTTGGATGAAACTGCGAAAGTGGCATTTGACAGCAAAGCTGGCTTCTCCCCGGGCTTCACTTCCAACTTCAGTTTCTCCAGATTGGCCTTAGCCTTCTCTGCCCATAAGAAAGCCTGCTGAAGCGATTGTCCATCGTCCCGGTGAGGAACCACGGTCTTGTATGCTCTTGGCCACTTTGTGGCAAAGACTTGTCCGCTGCTGGTAGTGCTGAGAGCATCAGAAACGCTCACGCCCTCCTGTCAATTGATAAGGAAAAACACAGTGTGTATATATGTATATTCACAAAAGCCTGATGATGTAGGACTTATGACCAGTTAGTTACTCTTGATTCGTGCTGCGGTTCTCCTTGATGCTCACTTCCGCAACCTTTGCCCTCCCAACTTGCTCCTGATCTTTTTGTGAGGTGATGAAACGATCTGGTCATTCAAGGTGCACGTGCAAACACATGAGGTGGGAGTTTGCAGTATCCCACTCCTGTTCCAAAGAATTGTCTCTCTCTTCCATGTCCTGTCCACATGAACTGAAAAGACATATAATAAATGCATACATTCATCTGCTGATGTTTTTTGCGAAACAAAAAATGAAAGATGTTGAAAGCATCTCCTCCTCTGCGAGATGATTGGCATTGAGGCCCGCTGCTGCGCTACACTCATGCGCAGATTGGTCGCCCTCGAGACAACCGTGCAGGCACGCAATGCCAAACTACATCTTGGCAAAAAAGGGTGGACCACAGCAACA